TAGTAATCTTAACAGAAGTAAGCTCAGTATAGGATACCTAACATTTGAAAGTTAGGGTATGTTGTTGTTATCACTTGCTAATATTATGGAGGAACCATATGGTAAAAGTGTTGAAGTTATTTAAATCTATAACTCCTGATTAAACATAAAAGAGATAAGATAAATTTAGACATTTACATGTATAATATGAATAATATTTTCTTTTACATTCTTTCTCTTGACCGACTTAAAAGCATTTACCAGTGCTTTACTTTTCCAAGAAGTACCACCTTGATGATTGGTATTCCTTAATGAAAGCAAAGAAATAAAACCATGATAGCTATACTAGAAATGTGAAAGTCAAACTTGTATTTTTGTAGACTGCTTTTGGTGACATTTACAAGCTGCTTGTTTCTTAATAGTTCATTCCCAGTGACCTCCTCATTTAAGGCCAGGTTTTTGTAGGTCAGCCAGATTGGACAAAATTGTACATCATATGAAGGGATTTGGAGTTCCCTTTTCTGCTTACTGATCTTGCTCATAGCATTGTTTGCTAGCCTAATGATTTTTATCTAATCTCACATACTATTTTCATTTTTGCTCTACTAAAATTCGCAGTGGAAATTGTAATAGTATCAGAGTACAATTGTATGATTCATTTTTTGTGTGGGGTGGGGAGAGGCAGTCTGTAAGATACTCCTAGACTTTATGTCAATTTTTCTTTGCCATTCTCATATTGAAAAGGCAAGGTTTTTGTAATGCTTATTTAAAGTATTCATTCAATAAGTATTTATCAAGCCTCTGTACTGTGCTAAGATCTGGAGGTGAAGCAGTGCCCAGGATGTAGACAGGCCATATTGTCACCGACATCTAGAACATCTGCATACCTTCTCTGTGGCCATGGCCTCAAAGAAAACAGAAATTCTCTGTCCCATCTTCTCATTACCTAGAGGTCATAGGAGGCTGGATGGAATATGGCCTATACATGTTACCATATGTACAGAACAGAAAATTCCCCCCTGTTATAGAGCTTGCATTGTAGTGGAGGCAGCCAGAGAATAAACTTAATGTATAAATAAATCATGAGGTATTTTAGAAGGTGTAAGTGCTGTGGGAAAAAAACCGAAGCAGGTAAGTGGATGGGCGGTGCAATTTTAGATGTGGTGGTCAGGATAGGCCTTGAGCAGGCGACATTTGAGCAGAGACTTGGCTGCGGAAAGGGAGCAAGCCATGTAGATAACTGGGGGCAAGAGCGCCCCACTTGGAGGGACAGGCCACGCAGAGTCCCTGAGTCGGGCAGAGAACCACAAGAAGGGCAGTGTGGTTGGAGCTGAGGAGATCAGGGGATGTGAAGAGATGAGGCTAAGACCAAGGTGGTGGTGGCAGAGAAAAGCTGTGTCACGCAGGGCCTTGCAGACCATTCTATGTAGGAAGGTGAGTTTTGGGTAGAGGAGTGAAATAGTGAAATAGATTGATGTTTTGAAAGGATCAGTGAAGGGTGGTGGGTCAGAGAACCAGGTAGGAGGCCTTCAAGCAGCCTGGGCCGGGGTGAGTCAGGAAATGTAATGAGCAGTACAGATTTTGGCTTTATTTTGAAGGTGAAGTTATTGGGTTTTGCTGACAGATTGCACTGAAGCAAGAGACAGAAGTCATGGGTGACTTAAGGTTTTAGGTCTCAACAAACATGCAGTAATATCTTTCTTATAAATTTTAATTAAGAGTTTACTTGTTAAGTAGGACTTACCAAAGTTGCTTTTAACTATGCTGATACTAAAAAAGTCAGATTTAAATATTACAGAACTGTTTAATGAATGGTGGCCTTTATATTAGTATATAGAATTTTATAAATGAGAGAACATAGAGGACTGCTTACTTTTTTCACTTATGTTGCCATTAACTATAGGTTATTTCTGTTCTTTTCATGATGTCACAAGTTTAAGAATTTAAAAGCATAATTTATCTTTAATATTTAACAGGAAGAAAATAAGTAATTATATCACCAAACTAGCTGGTACTTCACATCATTTTTCAGCTCTTTGACTTTAGGCAAGTTGCTTGACTTCTCTGAACTATATTTTCCTCTTCTGTGAAAACAAGGAAGTAGCTACTTCGTTGGGATTGTGTTATGGATTAAATGCAATTATTTTATATATAGCTAGTTATAGTTGCTCAATAAAAGGTACAGGTTATTTTTGGCAGCGTCACCTTCATCCTCTTCAGTACTTTCTTCTCAGTGGCCTGGAATGGTTCCTAACCCTTCCATAGCTGCTTCTTCAGTCTGAGCTCTCCTTAGTCACATTGGTCTCTGGCTTGTAGGAATTTATGTTCTTTCATATCTTATCTTTTCAGACTCTCAGGACGTTGTACATCAGGAGATGAGGATATTTGGATATTGAAATAAGTTATAAATTAGTTGGAGGGGTAGGAGAGAAAGGTAAAGTCAAAAGCTAGGCTCATCCCTCTCCCTCATTCTCCACAGTCAGTTTTCCCAAGTTTGTCCTTTGTCACTGCAACTGCATGAGCTCCAGCCACCACGACCCCTGGCTTGCACCACTTTTCCTTTCTGCTCAGCTGGTTGGTGCTGTGGTTTGAAGACCCTGGCATCATAGATGAGCACATGGGCTTGGTGACTCTTGTGCCTCTTCCTAGTTGTAGGACCCTGTCCTTTAGTCTTGGTGTTCTTATCTTTCACACATTGCCACACTAGAAAAAAATTTTTTTCCTTGGAGCCACAGTATTTTATTATGAAAATAGAATAAAAACTTCAAAAACAAAAATGATCCTTTCTAATTTAATGAAAAATTTGTTACTTTTTATTGTTTTCTGTGTACAAGTTCTATGCGGCTTAAAAAATAGTTCACGTGGCTCTCAAGGTGAAGAGATGTGTGAGTCACATATGCTTCATGAGGCCCTGGGCTCAAAGCTAATGTGAGTTAAATACAATTTACATGGCAGTTAATGTGTTAAAGGAGGTGTGATAGTACTAAGTTTGCTTAGATGTAAAAATTTGATGTAGTCAGTATTTAGTGTACAGAATATAGCAGGAGACTAGTTTTTACTAGTCACCTAGTAAATAATAACTTTTATTTTTTAACTTTTGAGAGTCATAACTCCAAGATGGACTCATAGTTTGCTTGGATTATTTGTACAGTCTGTTAGTTGATGGTTCAGATTAAACCCCAAGCCATTCTCATGGGAATGAGTCAGATAATATGTGCTTGTGGATGTGCTTTTATCCTTCCCATCATGACAGTGATCCTTTATGGATCACTGGTCCTGGTCTCTCCTGGGTCATGGTAGAAACTGGGGATATTTTTCATGCATTCTAATCGATCAATTTGCCTGTTTCTTCTGTTCTTTCTCTAGCTTGCTTGCTTGTGTTTTTCTGGAGCCCCTTTCTTCCCAGTGTTGCCTGGGGTTAGAGTTCATGCTGGTGAATGATGTGTTTTCACTGGAACATAGGAGAGGTCACTTGAACTATGGCTGCTATTATGAGCCTGAAAGTAAACCTGGAGACAAAACCATCATCCAGAATAGCATGTTAGAAATGACACCACTGTCCTGGGGCATCACTGTCCACAAATATACCCCTTGTTCTCCTCAGCTTGTGTTCTGCTCTTGTTTTCAGAAGTTAGGAAATTGATAAACAGAGCCTCAGTCATTTTCACAGTTTGAAGTATTTGATTTTGAATTAGTTTATAGAATTGTACTACTGACAAAATTACCCATATATTAGGAAAGCTAGAACTGTATAGAGCTTCAGTTTGTATTATGTATGCTCAAAGAACAAAGGCACCAGGAGCCTGGTTACTTACTATCTTATTGCTGAAATGGAATGTGTTCAAATAGCTAAATTTTCGAGATGACCTTGACTATCTCACAGTTTGAATGGAAAAACCCAGTTGCTTTGTATTAAAAAAAAGTTGCTAGTACAGATTGTAAAGGTATTTTTCTGTCCTACTTTTTCAGTATGAATTTATTACTCACTTATATTTTGAAGCTAAGAAGAGAAATCATGCATCTTGGATCCCTCAATATTCCCTAAGCTAATTTTAAAGAATTTGGCTACCTCAAATTATTGTTTTTGTGTTTTCTGGATAGTTTTATAAATTTATAAACTTAATATGAAAGTATCAATCAGGAAAAATATTTTACTGCAAAAATATTTGGGTTCCTACA